GTGCTGTCGAACACGGAGGAGATGGCGGAGCTTTACCGGGAGCTGAGCCGGCACCCAGGGCTCAGCGCTGCCTGCCTCGGCCCCGATGTCACCACCCAGTACGGGGGCAAGTACTGCAGCCTCTACACCGGTACGGGGACAGGGTGGTCCCCTGGGGAGCCCGGGGGTGTCCGGGGGGTCTCCACCTGCCCGGCGGGGATGTGGTGGGTGTCCTCACCCCACTCCTCGCAGAGTGGTCGCAGCGGGACCTGGCACGGGCCGAGAACGTCAAGTTCTGCCGCCAGTACCTGATCTTCCATGACGAGGCCTCTGTCGTCTACTCGGGGCCCGCCGGCACCTGCTCTGAGATCAAGGATGAGTGAGTCCTGTCCTGCCCCGTCCCCCACACCAGCGTCCCCTCGGGGTGCCAGTGGTGGGGGACTGACAGGCGCCCACCCGCCCACAGGCTGCTGAGCCGGGAGTCCCCCAGCGGGGCACTGAAGGCTGTCCTGCGCAAGGTCCCTGGCAAGGAGAAGGAGAAGGAGAAGCAGTTCCTGGAGGTGAGGAGAGGGCTGGGGGAGGCAGATCCATGCTGCGGCTCAGGGCTGGATCCACGCTGTGGCTTGGGGCCACCCCGGCATCTCTGCCCCCAGGTCTGGGATCAGAACCGTAAGGTGAAGAGCATCGACCTGACGGCGCTGGACAAGCACGGCAGCGTCTATGACGATGGTGAGGGGCCAGGGGATGCTGGGGGATATGGGGTCCTGAGGGGACAGGGTGGCCAGTGCCTGACTGGCCCCTACAGACCAGTTTGGCTGCCTGGCCTGGTCGCACTCGGAGACCCACCTGCTCTACGTGGCGGAGAAGAAGCGTCCCAAGGCCGAGTCCTTCTTTCAGAGCAAAGCTCCGGAGCTGGGCACCTCTGATGAGGACACAGGGCGCCCCGAGAAGGATGACACGCCCCTCAAGGTGGGGTCCCCCCACCTCAGGCTGGCCGGGGCCAGCGGGGGCAGCCATGGAGCTAACGGGGCTGTGCCACAGGGTGAGCAGTTCGTGTACCACGAGGACTGGGGGGAAGCACTGAGCACCCGCAGCGTGCCCGTCCTCTGCGCCCTGGACATTGAGGGCAGCAGCATCTCAGTGCTGGAGGGTGTCCCGGAGCACCTCTCTCCCGGCCAGGTCAGGACAGGGTGCCCTGGGGAATCGGAGCAGGGAGGTTTCAGGGGGCAGTGGTGGGCTGAACCACTCACCCCCCATCTCCCTGCAGGCTTTCTGGTCCCCCGGTGACACCGGCGTGGTGTTCGTGGGCTGGTGGCATGAGCCCTTCCGCCTGGGGCTGCGGCACTGCACCAACCGCCGGTGAGTCCCCATGGGGCACATGGCCCCACAGCCAGGCCCCCCGGCCCCATGGTAACACCCATCTCTGCCGGCAGGTCAGCGCTCTTCTACGTGGACCTGACGGGCGGGAGATGCGGTGAGCGGCACGTGCCCCAGCCTCGCCGGCACCCCAGCTCTCCGCAGCCCCTCACTGTTCCTTCATGCCCGTGCAGAGCTCCTCTCCGAGGACACCAGGGCCGTGTGGTCCCCGCGGCTCAGCCCTGACCGCTGCCGCATCGTCTACTTGGAGAACGACGCCCTGGGCCCCCACCAGCAGTGCAGCCGCCTCCGCATGGTGAGTGGCACCAGGGGGACACCGGGAAGGTGGTGGGGTGCCCGTGCCAGGGCAGGGGCTGGCAGGAAGGTGGTGGTGCCCCCTCCCCAGGCTGCAGCAGGGGTGGGTGGGCGGAGACCCTGCAAAACTCGTCCTGTGCCATGTCTCCCGCAGTATGACTGGTACACCAAGCATACCAGCACGGTGCTGGAGGCTGTGCCGCGGCAGGCATGGGGTGAGTACAGCCCCGGGGGTGGCGGGAGGGGCACGGGGGGGGTGC